TCTTCTAAGAGTTTCAGAGCTTCATGCTCTGCAACATACTGTACAGCAACTGTTCTCTCCATCTCTTGTTTTTTGTTGCTATTTTAATGGTTTTAGAAGAAAGTAGGCATTTAACTTTTGTTGCAGTAAACCAGAAAGTGAAAAGCAAGATTTAGAAAATGAAGGGGCAACAGTCCCACTCTGTACAACTCTGGTGTCAACTCTAGAGCACTGCATTTGTTTCCAAGTACCAAAATGTCAGGAAGACGTGAAAGTTCACAAGAGCAACAAAAGTAAATTCTTCCAACTTCCTAATTTTTCTGAAACAAACCTTTTCATGTATGCTTTACCCAAGCAGGGGGGCACACATCTATAAAAAAATTTGAGAGATGTGAACCAGAGATTAATTTAATATGGATAAAGGGAAGAGGGATACCTGCTGAGTTGGAAATAGTCTCCCACAGGATGACAAAAGACTCCACTGCCCCAGACATTTAAAAATCACTGTACAAAGCAGCAACTGGGGAGTTCACTTAACCTTATATATCAGAAATACATACATGTATACATGCAACTATAGCAGGGATGTCAAACTCACCCATGCCAGATCCAGAGACAGCAGGGTGAACAGTGGAAGCATGGAGGTTAAACACAGACTTTGCTCACCCTTCTACCACTAAAACGTTTCCAATTGGGCCACATAGCTAGGAATTTTGCAGTGGACCCCACCCCTGAATTCCCAAGCCCTCTACGAGCCCCATGGGCCATGTGAAATGGCTCCACAGGCCAGACTTGACACCCCTGTAATACATTAGAACCCCCTGCAATGTTTCACAGAAGCAAGAAGTATTTTCTTTCTTCACTTCATACTTCTCCCCAGAAAATCCTGCGCTGGCCTAATTAATAATTTGATACAATTGCTGCACTCCTCAGGGCACCAGGAGCAAAACTGATGACACTCTCTGGGTATGTTTACATACGTATTTAAGCATGCTTAAGTTTAACATGCATTAGTTTAATGTGCATTAAGTGGGTTTAGGCAGGTGTCTAGATGTGCAGGCATTAAAGCTGTATGTAGACTGACTTGGGACTAAAGTTAGTTGACAGAGAGCGTTAATGCGCTTTAACGCATCAACACATTTATTAATGCGCTTTAACTATTCATGCCAAAGTTTGATACCATCAAATTTAGGCACGAATAGCCAACATGTGCCATTTTTACTGTGCATTAGCTTGGGCTAATGCACATTAAAGCATCACATGTAGACACGCCCACTGGATTTAAGGCTATAGGAAATGTCAAGGACAGAACCAGGCAATGGTTGGAGGAACCATCAGCACAGAACCAGAAAACAAGAGAGAGAAACACATAAGTCCCCATGGTTTTGCCATCACTAAAAATATACCTGAAAAGTCTCTGCAATGCCCCCTACAAAGTTTCCAAATCTGTTTTGTGATCAAGGATCTCAAGACTACCAATTGCCAATAAAAACCAAGAGAAAAGAGAAATTAAGTGGCAGGCAATAATAGGGCAGCAGTAGACCAAATTGTTTCCTTGAAGGACATGAAATTTTAATTTAGCCAGTTTATCTTGAGGCTCTAGTTGGGAAGAGGCATTTTAGGAAAAATAAATATAACACTGAATGTCAAGTAACTTACATGCCCCATTTACTCCTGAAATGTTAATGTAGTAAAAAGAAGTTATCACTATATCACTTTAGTATCTACTGATTACATTTTAATCAAAGCAATCAACAAACATAGCTTTAAAGAGACAAAAAGTGAGATATACTGCATGGTTGCTTACCTGGATAACCAATTCCTTTGGCATTTGCATAGGGAACCCCAGAAGATCCAGGGCTATAAACAGGATTCATGGTTTCAGAAACTAAAGGCAAGAAAAAAAAACAAAAAACAAAAACAACTATCAAACACAGTTAGCACACTACAGGGAGTCCCAAACAACCAATGCCTTAAATGCAAATAGAAATGAACAGTAAAGTACATCATTCCGACACCTATTCCATCCATGATAATTTTGACCTGCAGCTGAAGAAACACGTGCACTGCAACTGCTTCTAAGTTTCTAAGCATCGTTTTTCCTAAGTTACCTTGAGGAAGTGTTACTAGGGAAGAAATGTGTTTCCCCATGGATTGAATATACTTTTTAAAAATTGATCCTATCACTTGCTATCCTACAGAGCAAAAACAACACCTGTTCCCAAACAAGCCTTCACCACCACTACACCATGTCTATAGTTGCCTACTCTCTTCCGTTTTTCCATGTACATGCACCTCCATGCAAGACCTGATTTACTTCCTCCTAGGAACACAGGCTTCCAGGGACATGGAGTTCAGACCCCTTCTCTCCCTTCACCCCATCAATTCTGCACTGCTCCTGTTGCCAGTCTGTGGAAACTGCTATAAGCATAAGCAACTCCCTTAGCCTAATATTCCAGTCTCTCACCACATCTTAGTTCCTGAAGCAACACTAGCTCACACATTAAAGAAAGGAGATAGCTTAAAAATGTTTATGCTATATGGCATACGTTTACTAGAAAGGCACACCTAGTTCAAACTTCTGATTAGTGTGCACATCTAAAATTGGTCTTAATTAGCATCTTTACCAGAAAAGACCAATCTTAAACAGGAACAGATGTAGACCTTAAAATGGGAACAGAAAACATGTTGAAGTGATGGGGGGAAAATAAAGATGTTTTCATACTTTTTGTATTTATAATGTATTCTAATCTCCCAAACTGCTAATGTTACTAATTATAGGAACCAATTCACTGCATCATATGGAGCATTTAGAAGCAATAGCAGTGACAAGTTAGAAGTGTACTGCAATCAATTTAAGAGAGGGTGGGGGGGAAATCTCCTCCGAAATTGTGCCACTTTACTGCCTTAGCCGTCCGATGTTTTGGGTATGTTTCCAGATTTACATCTCCTTTTCCAGTTGCTAAATGCCAATTCGTCATGAAAAGTATGCTCTCCTGGAAAGAAAAGGTAAGCTGCAACAACAAGCCTTATTATCTGCTAATACACCTTCCTCAAGTTACTTCATACTCTCTTTTGAGCTGCCCAATGCTATTTAAGGGACTTCAAGGTCAAGACCAAGATTTGTTTTTACTCAGTGTTCTGTGAATACTGTATATAAAGTTTATGATGTTAAAAATACTTTGGGAACAAAAAGGCACTACATGCACTATTGAGGAATTATTGTTATGCTAGGGAATTAAAGTTTAAATTGGCCAGCAAAGCATCATTGGACAAGCCAAGCAAGTAGTCAACAGTATAAGTACCAAAAAGGCAGTCTGATTTTTAAGATGAGTAGTGACAAGATAAACAGTGCCTAAACTACCAAACTTAGCACGATAAGCAAAACATGCTAGCTTGTATAAATAGCAGGAATTCACATTATGATTTCCAGAAAGTATCTTGTATTTTCCATAAAATTTGACACACTGCACAATATGGAATTACAACTTTTACCCAAGACCAATACGAAAGTTAACACACACACATCTTGTGCTGAAAAATCAAAGCAACATGTCCATTAATAGCCAAGTTAAAATATGGAAGTAAGCTAGTATTTACAGTGCCTGATATTAAGGAAGTTATCTACAGTAGCATTTAACGTTTCTTCATTGTTGGTCAGGTAATTAGGACAGTTCGCCTAATTCCCTTTAGTAATGATACAGCGCTTCCTCATTTATCCTGTCCTCCATATACAAGGCTGTGGGATATTTTGCTTACAGCCACAGTAAGATTTAGTCATTAAAGTTCTTGCTAGCCTAACTGGCAGTTTACTATTTATCTGCATAGAGAAACAGTAAATATTCTCCCTATGTATTCTCTTTCTAAACAAACAAAAACATTCATCCACTTGTACGCTATTCCTGTCTGACATTCTATTCTCATGTCTGCATCTTTTGTTTACTATTTTATTTCCTTAATTCCAAGTCTACCTGGAGTGCATAATTCTAGCCCCTATTTCCAGGGTTCATTATGCAAGTCATTAATTACAAACGAGAAATAATCCTCCCAAGATTGATTTTGTTGACATGTTCCATCTCCTCCTTGTTTTCTGTCCTTTAAGTAGAGTCCCATAAATATTACATTCTTAGCTACCCACCTTTTCATAGGAAGGTTAAAGGTGGGGTGGTTTATGCACTGCTCTGTGAAGATGTGGGGCTCAGTCTCCTCAGGCTGAAAAGATCCTAGAAGTCAAAGCAAGTCCTCTAACCACAGGCACAGGGGTCAGCAATATTTCCCCGGGGCAGGGGAGGGTTGGGCCTGGAAAGACCTTGTTTAAACAGAGAGGTAAGCATTAGGACCTAGCTGCCACCACCACTGGGTTGCAGAGTGGCACAGTGAAAGTCTCTCTCCACTGGAACCTGTATCACCAACTGGGGCCCGACTGAGTAGGGGCAAAGCTTCCCCTTTGTTGGAGCCTCAGGTGGCCGATTGAAGCATGGCAGCACGGCAAAGAGACAACTCCCCCTCTGCCAAAGCCTCAGGCACCTGGCTATGGCATGGTGCAGGGAAAACCCCCTACCATGAAGCAGGGGGGATAAAAATCAGTGACATAAAAGTAAATAAATCAAATTTTTAATTTAAATTGGATTTTTAATTTTTTTGTTAAGATGCTTTAAAAAAAATAATTACTGTAATTTATATAAAGATAGTTTTAATTTAAGACATGTTAAGGCTCAAAAAGATCTTCATGGAACAGGGATTATAACTTCTAATTATATACTATTTGAGACAATATATCTATGTAACCTTTTTAGACATTTCATAAATAGGTCACAAGAGGCCATGGGCTATATTAGAGGCCCAATCTTATGGGGCTTTCAGAGGCTCCTCTATAGATTAGTAAAGACTAAAGAAAACCACTCTACCAATGGGACTCAGTGCTCAGTCTAGAAGATCCCATTAAACACCTCTGTGATGCTTAGTTTCAGTTTTCAAACTGTGGATTTGTCTCTCCAGAGATCATAGGCAGACAAGGTTGTTTGGGTAGATGTGATATCTTTTATTAGACCAACTAAATAGTTGGAAAAATTGTTCTTTGCAAGCTTTCGGACACAAACACCCTTCTTCACGCAAAGAGAGCTTGTTGTTAACAGCAGTATATGGAGATAAGAGATAACAAACCTGATCATTACCCACCCGTCAGCCCTATTGTCTCTCTGCAAGTTTGGGTACGCAGTCAAGCCTTTACCTTTCTCTAAAAGTGTGCAGTTTCAAGAAGTTAAGTGAATAAAAGATATCAAACAAGAATGCACTTTTTAACAATGCATGAATCAAGAACAATGATTAAATCGAGGATTCCTGACCAGTGATTTAAATTGTGTTTAAATCATGATTTAAATCAATTTGATTTAAAATCGAATCCACCCTGCCACAAAGCCACAGCAATGTGAGCTGGACTGAAAGGCTCAATGGGCCATACATAGATTGCCAACCCCTCCACCAGGATATTGTGGAAAAACTAAGTAGTACTACCTAACACCTCCCATGTTCTCACTGTAAAGCTGCCACAGGGTCTTACACTTTGTGAGTTTGGTGCCTTCACCCCAAGCACACACGATTCTAGCCATGTAACCAAGATCACCTTCCTGGGGCAACGCATCTATTTTTTGCTACTTTATTGCTTAAGAGGAGAACTTTTGGATATGGCCCCCAAAATCTGTCTACTGTGCATGATCATCTTTGGATCATTTGAGCATAATTTAACAATTACTTCCTGTACTTGCAGTAGCAGGACATTGAGAGTACCCTTGCCCTCATGCTTTACCTGTGGTAATTTAGCATGTTTTTGTTTTGGACATTGTGCTTGGTAGCTGCAAGAAAGTGTTGTTCATGAAGTCTTTAAAAACAAGTTAGACAAGCACTGGTCTAGGATGGCTTAGATAGGGATGAATCTGTCTTGAGCTGGGAAGTTGAACTAGAACTAGATGATCTCTTGAGGTCCTTTCCAGCCCTACTTTTTTATGACTTTACATGTAATTTGTTAAATCAACAATTGTTTTTCCCCCCCCAACTACATAAAGGTCCTCACTTTGGATGACCTCCATGCCAGCTTTCATTCATCATTTTAATTGAAGACTAATTTGAAATGTGCTTGGAAACTTTTTAATAGGGGGAAGGGGGGATTCTTCATTAATACCAGAGCCAAACCACTACAGTAATTTCTGTTCAAGCTTTCCAAGTCTCACCTTCGGGCAGAGACAAAAACGTAAACTTCATGCCTCTGAAGTTAATGTTTCAGAGAGTTGGGCAATGAAGTCTGACTGCCAAAACTGAAACTTCATCATCTGCAACAGAGGTGCTTTTCAGCATTACTCATAGTTAAGAACTAAAGACAGACCACAGAAATGCTTTTGTAACTCTCCTAAAATTACTCTCACACACAAACGCACATAAAAGTGCAGAACAACTATACAGGCATTATTTACTGCCCAGTGGTCCATCTTCAACAGAAGAACTAGTACTAGTTTTCACAAATTCTGCTAGATGTCAACCGCAGAGCAATAAAATGAAAAAAGAACTTGCTGAAAGCTGTGTGTGTTCATCTCCTTCGACTTTGTGTTACAGGTCTTGGGAAAAATTTCACTTAGACAGCCTGCTTATTGAAGATACAGGCATACTGTGCTCCAAAGGTTTTTATTCTCTGAGGTGGAGAAGACCGGTGCTGAAAAACTTTCAAGGAATTTAACCATCCAGTATTACTTTTAGAAGGCTAATGCTGTTTATTATAAAATGTAGCAGAGAATCCAGTTTCTACTGCAGCCTTGCATCTGTTGGGGAGGAATGTCAATATGCACGTCAATATATTTCTAATTACAATCATTCCCCACATTTAAATGGCAATTTTTTTTTTTTGCTCACTTGATTGCTCAGCTCAGCCTCTAGGGTGCAATGCAAAGCTTTAAAAAAAAATTAAGCTGCTTAAAATAAAAAAAAAGCAGTGATATTTACAGACTTGAAACTACAGATAAATTTCTCCACTTCTTACCAGGAAAGAGCTAAGATCAGGCTTCTTCTGCAGTTAAACAGGTGACCTTGATTAAAGCTTTAGCTGAACTGGGTTTTGCCAAGATTTCAGCCATTGGGACACAGATACACTGATGCAAACTGTTAGTGTAAACAACACCATTTACCTTAGTGATGCTGGGGGGTTTTACGCCAAGGGAAGTTTCCAAGGTAGCAAAACCTAAAGGCAACACCTCCTGTACTGTTTTACATGCTTGTGAATATTTTTTAACCTCATGACACTTTTACATGCAGGGGTCTCAAACCTTACTAGAGGGTAGATATTATCTCCTTATTTGAGACAAAACTGAGGGATGGGATTATGCAACTTGCCAACAATCACAAAGAAAAGCATGTCAAATGGCCAGGAACTGCATCTATAACTGAGAGGCTCACACCTCTGCCCAAAGACATTTATTAGG